AGCAGGATGATTCGATCGGCATCCACACACTTCCTCCTGCTCAGGAATGGCTGAAGCCTGGGCTATCTTATATTGCTCCTTCGTCAGGTTTCTTCTTCGGCCAGACAGGACAACCAGCATCCCTCATAGACTTTCTTCCATCTCGACTTGCTGCTGATAGGCTTGTCAAACAATTCTTTATAGCTGTCCATCCCATCGCACAAATTCTGCATCGGCCATCATTCGAAAAAGAATACGACACATTCTGGGACGAAGTCTCATTGGGCATCGAGCCTCCTAATCCTGTCCAAGCTATGGTATTTGCAGTCATGTTTGCTGGTGTTGTTAGCATGGATCCCTCAGATGTTATCCGTGACTTTGGCGTCGCAAAACCAAGTTTAATTGATAACTTTAGACTGGGTACGGAAACAGCTCTTGGTCGTGCCAATTTTCTACGAACAACCAAGATTGAAACACTTCAAGCCTTTGTTTTATATTTGGTTTGTCTAAGCCTCTCTTATAGTCATGTTGCCCATACTAATGAGGTCACATAGATACCTCTTTGTAGAGCGGAGGTCTCCAGAACCCATTCTGTACTTGTTGGAGCGGCCATTCGTATGGCCGAATGTATGGGTCTCCATCGTGATGGAGAGTTCTACGGGCTATCGCCATTAGAGACCCACGTACGTCGGCTTATATGGCATCAGCTATGCTTTCTCGATATCAGAACCTGTGAAGCTCAAGGCCCACGGCCTACTATTCGTCGAGATGATTTTGATACAAAGTTACCCCTAAATGTTGACGATATTGATCTCCATGCTACTGGCAAATCACCTCAGACTGCAGATCGTTGGACAGATGCCACTTTGTCAATCATCAGATTCGAAATCAACGAAATGTATAGAATAATCTGGGTCGACCGACCTCGAATTCAGATGCGGAAAATTAGTCTCACGGCCGTTCTTAGTAAGGTAGAGACATTTCGGCAAAACATGACCAAATATGACAAGTTTATGGATGATAGAGTGCCCATCCAAAAGTGCGCAAAGCTTGTCAAATCCGTTCTGCTTTCTCGAATGCATGTCATGCTACTTCACAGCTATCATAGTTCTACACATTACCGTATGCCCGACCGTTTACGCAACATTATGATCACTTCTGGCCTCCATTCCATGGAAAGTGCAATAGCTCTGGAGACTACACCAGCGCTCCGCAACTGGGAATGGTATGTGGGGGCATTTCAACAATATCATACAGCGTTTCTTCTTCTGATGGAAGTATATGTTCACCCCCAGAGAAAGGAGGCAAATCAAATCTGGTCGTGCCTCGATTATGTCTTTGAGTGTGACCCTTACCTGCCGCGACTTACCAAAGCAAGGAAGATCCTTTCTGAATTGCAACAGAAGACGGCCGTATATCAAAGTATGAGAGGGATGCGAGCACCGGTGACTATGAACAATCTTGTTGGCCAGCGGCCTCCTAAGCCAACTTCGGAAGAAGGCCGCGCAACGGGTCCCATACCGAATCCCGAACCATATTTACTCGGTAAAATGCCCCTCTCTGACTCAGATGCAATACTCTCGAGTGTTTCAAACAATGAACCTGTCGGGACTTATCCAACTGGGCGGACTAGTGAAGTAACCAGTCCAGCTAGCACAATGGGACAGCAGATAGTATCTCAATCACCAAGTGTTAACGATGATATTATGGCTGACATAGATTGGGTATGTGTTTCCAGTATATCTAATATCTATTGTTACTGATTTCTCTACAGGACGCATTCGATGCACTATTTCCACCAGATCAACAATCAGAGCTCGACGTTCACATTTTCTCTTTTTCAAACACAGGTATTGGCTTATAATTTTGGTATGATATAGAAACATTTTGATGTTTATCAATGTTAAGCACGTTTGTTGTTTTTCTTCTTCGTTCTGTAAACTGTACAATATATCCATCATTTAGAACTATTTGAGCAACGTTCTTGTTTAATGAGATGAGTTCGACGAATTCTTGATGGCTTCTTTTCCCATGCTCCTCCCTATTCAGCCACAAAGAGGGGAAATCTACCCCACATCATCCTGGCCGGACGCCCTCGGCCAACAACCCCAGCAATCTGGAGCAACCTGGAAACCAGCGATTTCGCCATATCTATATAGATATCACGCAATTGACCAAAGAAAGTAGATCGACAAATGAAACCGAAGCTAAACTTCCGTCATTATGAGAAAAGATGGAGTGACATACGCAATTATCAAGTATGAGATAAGATAAATAATAATAATAATAAGTAGATATCATCCCCCTCTTTCGAAATCCTTCTCTTTCTACATTCCTCTCTTTCTATCCTTCAATATCAAATCACATTTTTGATACTTTCGAATATCTTCACTTATTTCAGTTACCATTTAACATCGGAGAAACTGTAAAAATGGCTCCTTCACTTCTTAATACCCAGCCTATAGCACCCCATCAACTTTCCTCTCCATCCCAAAAGACCATTGATCGCAAAGTCTTCCCAGATGGTATCAAAACTTCGGGTCAACATCCGCCACTTTACGATCAATTGAGACCTTACTCTGATTTTCCAAAAGAAATCACCGGAGAAACAGTATGGAAAGCAGAAGATTATATCAATAACCCGGAAAGATGGGTTCATGTTTTCAATGAAGAGGAAATCGCAGAACTGAGTGCTGTAGCGGATAAGTTCATCGCGGATAAAATCCCTCTGACGGGTATTTCTCAGGTACGTTGTGTAATACTTGAGTGTCGTCCAAGTACGAATCAAAAATTTCTTTGACTAATTCCAAGCAGGATACATTCCGCCTCTCAAAACTTTCTACTTTATTAGCCTCAATTCGAACGGAAACTTTAAACGGAAAGGGCTTTATCCTTTTCAAAGGGTTTCCAGTCGAGAAATGGGGGAATCATAAATCTGCCGTTGCATACATGGGATTAGGAACCTACCTTGGATATTTTGTTAGTCAAAATGGTCGAGGTCATGTTCTTGGACACGTTAAGGATCTTGGAGAGGATTCAACACAGATTGATAAAGTCAGAATTTATAGAACCAACGCCAGGTAAGTCTCTATCTTATTGTTATCCTATGTTAAAAAGCTAACAACATAGACAATTTTTCCACGCTGATGACTCTGATATTGTCGGCCTTCTGTGTATTGCAAGAGCGCTCGAAGGCGGGGAATCCGACATCGTTTCTTCGCACCACGTCTGGAACACTTTGCAAAAAGAACGCCCCGATGTAGCAGAAACACTTACCAAACCTATCTGGTACTTTGATAGAAAGGGAGAAGTCAGTGTTGGTGAAGAACCATACATCAAGACCTCTGTCTTTTATCTCGAGACCGGCCCCAATGGTCGTGTATACTCAAAATGGGATCCATACTACGTGAAGTCTCTCACTCGATTTTCGGACGCAGGAGTCATTCCACCTTTGTCACCTGAACAAGTTGAGGCTGCTAAGGTTTTGGAAGAGACTTGTCACCGATTGAGATTGCATATGATCCTCGAGATTGGTGATATCCAATTCTTGAGTAACGAACACGTACTTCATGCTCGTACTGCATATAAAGATCATGCACCACCAGCACCAAGGAGACATCTTATGAGACTGTGGCTGGCGACACCAGAGAGTGAGGGAGGATGGAAACTACCGTTCCATGATTCGAACGAGAAGAAGAGGGGTGGCATTCAGGTCAATGATCAGGCCCCTGTTGCACCACTGGATGCAGAATAGGTCTTGGGAATTGGCAATGTTATTATAGACAGCATAGAATCAATCGATGACCAAAATAAATTACTGAACATATCAAGCTAAAGTCTTCAATTTGCTTCGAAGAATGCCCTTTCAGTGTGTGCTTTGATTCCAAACAATGAAGCTCCGACGCTCCAATCGTTTTGAGCCATCGCACGTTAGGAAACACATGCATGGAGCAAATCTCCGTCTAGAAAGGCAATTAGTGACACTCCGGGACCGAAGTATTTTTGACATACTCTCAATTACATTTTTCTCCCCCCACTCGTACTCGCATCTTCTTACTTCCTCACATAGTAACACAAAGTTTAATATCATCGTTCCTCTGAACCTTTTTCTTCTTCTCGACCTCCTTCTTCCTTGGCTCTGGGGTCATATCAGGTGGACCAAACCACTATTCCCACGCGCAGTATTAGCTTATTTCATCTCAATTTCTAATCCTTTCCCTCACTTCCCCTACCCACAACCCAAACAAAACTCACCGATCCCCCCGTATTCCTCTCCTCAACCATCTTAACCAATTTCTATCATAAAACCCCCCTGAAATCATGCGTCGGACACATGTATTTCGCCACTCTTACAATCATCGGACCTTCGATTCTTAAGGCACTAGAGGCGAACATTGGACAGATGAGGAGACCCATGCCCCAATTACATGGTTGGGCGATTTGAATCCATTGGCAGGGCTGGTGAGGGACGTTTTTGTCTTTGGATTTGGGGGCAGAGGAGTGGGAGTGGTGGTGGTGAGAGCGGTGTTGAGAACGAGTATGAGAATGATCGTTCGGGTCCTGGTGCTCGTGGCAGGTGGAGGATTGGTGGAAGGTATATTTGCACATTTTTTTGGTAGATGTTAATTAATGGATAGTTTGAGTATGATTTGAAATCTGTAGCGGAGTAACAAATTGCTGGGTACTTCTACCTGGAAATATGAATCCGACAGCGCTTTTAAGAAATGCGAGTTGAAGGAGAAATCGGGCAAGTGTGAGTGAATCGACGGAGTACAAACAAAAAGCTGTAAACTTCTTTCTTCTCACAGTGATTCATAGGAAGGAACGAAAAGTGAATGATGAGGCTGATACTCATATTACAATCGAATTTCCTCAGACGAGAGTCCATTATTATGTACGTATGGGTATATCTCATCATCCATTGAGAAGTAACGCTAGTCCTCCGATGCAATATCCCATTCCAAACTCCGCACATCCCATGTAAATATGTACATATCATACAAGTCCGACCATTTATAGCTTTATAACTGTTCAGGCGCGGGGTTCTCTTCGCCACTTTCCTCCACTTGTTTCTTTCGTATTGCTTGCATGAGCTCATACAATTGCCCTAATTGTTGATCTAAACTCTCTGTTAGCATTTGGTGTTATCAAACTTCTAGCAAAATGCGTACCACTCATCTTGTCAATCTTCTCCTTATCCATACGCTCCCCAATCCAACTTTCTCCCTCAAGTTTCTGTGCATACATCTGCCACTCCGTTAAAAAGCCAATCTATCTCTCAATTAGCTTTCGTACATCCCAGTCCCCTTCATGCCTTATCCAAAGCACACAACTCACGATATGCACCGGATTCTCCACCTCCCTATGTTGTCTAAACTCGCTCTTAATATACTCATCCCCCAATAACCTCATCTCTCTCGGTAAATGTTTCCTATGCGCTCTAAACAGCCTTCGATACAAAGGAATCGGTGGCAGTAAAGCCAAAGGTGCAGGCCTCAATCCCTTTCCAGTACCTGCCGCCGAAGGCGACGCCATTAACAAGCGTGGTGAAAGCTTCATTTTGAAATGTGGGTGTTGATTGTAAAATCTGGGGAATGAGGCATGAGAGCTCGTGAAGTCATCGATCCATGATGGCTTTCGGCAATCTATTGCCCCGCCAAAAATTAATTTATCAGCCTTGTCACTTATTTGCTTCTCTCACTCAACCAAAAGTTCTGTAGCACATCTGAGGAACTTTCAAATCTGGGGCTTGTGAGGAAAGTTTAATTTTAACTACAGTTTTGAAAAGAGGAAGCTTCTGCAATCTCGAAAAAGAAAACTGTCCCAGTGATTTTGAAAGAAAGATAAAGGTTTCCCGACAAGGGGTGTTTTGAGCTTTTCGCGGCTTCTCTTGTTCCCATCTCAATTACAGCCTTCTCGCGTTCACTTACACGCACTCTGTTGCGCCAACAAGGTAGAAATGCTTCCGACTCCCGATACCTCACATGTGTCTTTCGATAGAATCTACGAGCCTGCCGAAGATTCCTTCCTACTCCTCGACACCTTATCCTCCGCGAGTGAAAAAGAATTTCTGCGCCAACGGTTTCAAAGCGAACAGAGCTCATCATCGCCCTCTCCATTGGTAGTAGAGATTGGTACTGGATCTGGAGTTGTTCTCTCCTTTGTACATGCACATGCAGAAATCATATTTGGCAGAGCGGATATTCTTACAGCGGGCGTCGATGTCAATCGCTATGCATGTGAGGCTACACAGGAAACAGTGAGAGTAGCGGAGAAGGAACAGGCGTCACAAAACATATCACACGGGTCGTATATAGGGAATGTGGTGGGAAATTTAGGAACTTCTTTAAAGCCTGGAATGACAGATGTATTGATCTTTAATCCGCCATATGTGCCAAGTCCGGATGTGCCTATACCAGAGCTTTCTGGGGCAGGAAACGAGGATGGTTCATTGTCATATGAAGGAGACTCAAAATTACTAGCTTTGTCGTATGCGGGTGGAGTGGATGGTATGGAAATTACGGATCGGCTAATCGATGCTTTGCCGGAGGTTCTGAACCAGGAGAGAGGTTGTGCGTACATCTTGCTCTGCGCGCAGAACAAACCCGAGGATGTCAAACAACGAATACGTGGTTTTGGAGACGAGTGGAAAGCGGAAACCGTTAGTAATAGTGGCAAGGTTGGGGGATGGGAAAAATTGCAAATTGTTAGGATTTGGCGTATGCCACCTAACACCACCTGAAATCAACGTAACCAGCACTCGTCCATATCGCTTTGATGCGGTCAAAAAAGCCCATTTGTATTTCAAAGCCCATGGATAAGGCATCCCATTGTTCGTTCGTAAGTGATCGATTTAGCTGCTTTTCATATGCCACTCGAAACGCCAATATTCCCACAAGCTGTGCATGCATGGCACTCTCTTTCTCCCTTGATCATCTCCCGTCTGTATAGTCAAGTAGAGCAAACATTCTTAATATAATCTTCCCCTTCCAAATTCTCGACTTGCCGCCATTACCGTCATAATGATCATCGAATCTGCCCATTGTATGCAATCCTTAGAATCCTCTTCCACCGCCTCGTCCTCGACCTCCTCTGAATCCACCACCGCCTCCTCGTCCTCCACCTCGTCCACCTCTAGGTCCGCCTCTACCACCTCTACCGCCTCTAGTATCGGTAGCGCCTGCAGCTTCCTTTCTCGCCTTGTTCTTTGGCTTTGGTGCATCGTCTATCAACAATGTGTCGAGCGGTAACGAATCGGGCAGAATGTAATAACGAATCGTGGAACCTCGTAAATTAATGGTATCAAGGGTGAGAGATGTGCCATTCTTTGGCGTCATCTTGACGGTGCGGAGAGCTGTGTTCATTTGAGGAGATACGGAAGTTATGGTACCGTGGATGATTGTTCCTAGTATGCTTGTTAATAGACAGTTATTTGGCAGCGCAAAGAGCTTGGGAATAGCAGGTAATATTCATACCATTTTTAAGCTCAATAGTGACCGTTTCGTTCGCGCATTTCATGAGAAACCTACCATGGAAGGAGAAAGTCAGTCAGGAGATTCAGATGGGAGCCTTGAGAAAGAATTTGAGCTCAGCGCGTGCCAATTGAAAGGCCTTATAGTAATAGGGATAGGCTTACCTGACGAGCTTCATACTGCCGGTTTTATTGTTGATGTATATTGAAGGTTGATAGTGGATCGTGAGGTCGATTGATGGGCCTCTACATAAGTAAAGCATTTGAAGCTTTTATCGCGAGGTTCGAAATGATTTTGGGGCCTGGTATTTAAGGCTACAGTTTCCCTGCCTACAGTTTCTCTGCGTGAAGCTGGAACATCTAGCTCGGATTTGAAAGGGGGGTGAACGAAAGGGAAATTTCTACCTAAGTAATTCAAATAGTGGAAAATAATGTCCATTGTAATATGCTTTGGGGGTATCCATAGTGTCTTGTATAAGTTTCAAACATTGTACTTGAGGTACACCAACATTCAATAATCATCTAAATAACCGGGTGTTTCCTCAAGCTCCCATCTTTCCATCGGACATTGTGCCGTCATTTCCAACAATTCCCCTCTGCGATGTTTATTTATCCTTTTCATTCTCACTAACTTTCTCCCACTCATCCTCGGTACTGGGCTCACTCCTATTTCCTCCTCCCGTAGAATGTGCTCTGCTCTTCAACTCCCCCTTGGCTTCCAAGACCTCGACCTCCTTACTTCCTGGCGGACCATCGTCATCAACAACGGTCTCTACATCCGTATCACTAGCGTCTCCTCCAGCTCCCGCTTCTGTCTTCTTTCGTGCTTCCTCTTGCTCTTTCACTGCCTTCAACTCTGCGGCGAACCAGTTTATAGCCCACCATAACCCGCCACAAAGGAACGATAGAATCACGAAATGGATACTGTATGTAGCGATCAAGAGGGACAAGAACACAAGTTGTAGGGCTGCGAACGTGGCATTGGTTGCAGCAAGGAGGACGGGAGTTGGACCAGGTGTGAAGATGGATTCCCAAAGGGAAACGAAGAATTCCGAAGCCATAACTTGCTATTTCTGTTTCTTATACTGATTCTACTCCTTTGAGAGAGGAATAGCTTTCGTAGCTCGTAGTAGATGATAAAACTGGATAGAGAGATCTCCCAGAGAAGGGTATGTGTTGCGGAGACGAAGAGATACTAGATATCACAGTGATTAGTGGGATGTCATTCACCTATTTATAATACCCCTCACCTTCCTGCTTCAGACGAAATGACGCACACCTTGTACGATTTTGCTGGATATTTCACGACCACGTATCCTAAAGATTCTTGTAGCCTGGAGAAAACTTTCAAAGGGACAGATTTGTGGTTTCCAAGAAGTTGAAGTTGTGAAGAAATAAAATAATGCAAGATGTATGTATCATTCGGAAGCTTGACAACGCGACGCCCCTCTATTCTGCCTGTTCTCGGCTTTTTTTGGGCCACGCCTAAGACAAGACAAAGTGAATAATTGAATGCCTTGCGATTGAGGTTAGAAGAACTAAAGTTTCTTTGATGAATAATAATCGGAATATATATTGATCCATCATCACCACAAGCTTCTATGTTAGGAAACATTGTCTAAGATGCTCGTATATATCGTGGTGTATCACTTCAACATACAATGCACAGAATTCGCGGCTTACACAGCAGACATAGGTGAAACACTTAGAGGCCAGTTGTAAAGATTTCCATTTACCTGCAAACCCTCGAAATCATCTGTAGCAATCTTTTCCAAATATTACACAATACATCTGATGTCGGCATTGTGCACCTGTCAAGCTCTTCTTTGAAATTCTGCAGCAGCCAAACACGGGAGATCTCGGACAGTACATCGGAGCAGGAATTCTACATTCATTCATTCATCTCATGCTTTATTCGATCAATTTCAATCAATGTCTAAGTGGACTTGTATACCAGATGTTCAAGGATGATATTCAGGTTCTTACCATGCAAATTCTCAAGTATCTGCTACCGGCAGTGTTACACCTATTTGACAAACCAGCTGGACGTCTGAGATCTTTCAGATCACAGGAGCTGTTGTGATACTTGGCGCCAAGCACAACGACCTCAAACAGCTTCTTCCACCTTTTCAACCAGAATCACTTCAATCTTTTCGGCCCCACCAGTGGAGGTAGAGCTAACAGATCCTCTGGGCATGCATTTGGACACTCGTACAGTGTCGAGAATACTTTTGCTCCGAAGAAATATTTGGTCAACCTCTTCGAGATGACGACCATTGGTTTTGGGAAAGAAGAGGTATACACCTATCAGCAAAATCAGCAATTCATGCCTCTATCCTCCATCAATCGGACGTTTACTCACCTGGGAGTATCAAGAAGAGGTTGATACAAGCATATATAATGTAGTATCTCCATCCTATAGTAGCGAATCCCACTGGTGTTATTTCTGCGACAATGAAATTGAAAATCCATGCACTTCCTACAACATTCGGTCAATACAAACGCAAATAGTAATTCCTGTCGGATAAATACCTGTTGACATAGCAGTAATAGGAACTCGGACGCTTAGCGGTGCAACCTCCGAAGCATAGAGGAAAGTCAGTCCTAGGAATCCGGTAGGGAAGAACAACGAGAACATAAAAATAAATACTGCAACGACGATGACACATGAGGTGTTAGTAATTTGGGAAGATGTTCCAGCAATAATCGCCATGGAGGATCCCATTCCAAACGCGGCAAACATCATCAGCTTTCTCCTTCCGAATCGATCAACTGTTAAAACTCCTATCGGGGAGCAAACGGTCTGCCAAGTGAAGACAGAAGCACTGAGAACACGAGACGTTTGTGCTGATAACCCGAGGCCAGTCTCAAAAATGGTAGCTTGATAGAAAGCGAGAGCGTTTATACCACTCATTTGCTGAAACATTTGTCCGCATACAGCAAGACAAGCTCTGTGGAAAAGACGTTCATCGTCCATGCAAAAAATATCACGGAATGAGCCATTTCCGGTGATCGCAAGACCTTCTTCAATCTCTGCTATATCGGCCTGTACTTGAGCTGATTCTATGGGCTTGTCGTCCAATGCTGACACAACTTCCCGTGCTTCGTCTGTTCGCCCTTTTTTGACCAGCCAACGAGGAGACTCTGGCATATGTGGCGTGGTAATCAGTACGACAATGGACCATACCATGGAGAGTGCTAGCGGAAATCTCCAAGTGACTCCTCCGAACAAATGAGACATTCCAAAGTTTACCCACTGATTGATGTCAGTTTTTGTTGCTTCTCTGGCCCGTGATGATTGAGGATTAAAATAATTGTCGCGAAAAAGAGAAAGGGGTGACCAACAGCAGCCGTTGCTAAACCTGCACTTATGAACAACCCTTCAAGAAGCACCACTGAGCCACGGTGATGTGCTTTAGAACATTCTGATTGCCAATTCGGCGTGGTTGCTGTCAAAGCACCAAAACCTAAGCCGGAAACAAGACGTCCAACGATTAATTGACCTAGGGAATAAGATGAAGATTGAAGGATGGCGCCAATTATGTTGATTGCTGCTCCAAGCATGATTGTTCGTTTGCGACCTAGAGTATCACCTATTCTGATACAGGACAAAGCGCCAAAAAATCATCCAAGAGTATAGAGAGCAACGACAGTTCCCTTGAAAAAGTCAATGGCAAAGTAAAGGTATGAGAAGTATTCGCCTTAATTTACCTGCAACCGAGAGTTGTTGGTTTTCTGAGTGCCTATGACAGTAAGGGTGTTAAGCTCTGGAAAAGTTTTGATCCAGGCTGGTAGACTAAGTAGTCCACCGGCGACCTAAATGGTTCAGCATTGGTATGCCATGTTTTTGTCCGAAGCTTGATGTTTTTAATGGAGAGTAGCAGCACTCACAGCATTGTTGTACCCAAATCTACATTTTAGTAATATTAGGCAATGTAATTTAGCATCCCTTTTAGATTTGCTCTGTACTCACAGGATATAAGCAGGCATGATGACGGCCCAAATCATTGCTCGATGAAGTGCCTGACCTCGGAGACCAAAGAATTTTGTCATATTTCCAGGAAATGATAAGTGGTATGAATTACAGACTCAGTGGGATGGTAGGGTAATGATAGCGTAGGTAAGGATGTTTATGTAGGTCGGTAAGTTTTCAATTGTCAACTGGCTTTGACAATGATATTTTATCTTTCAAGTGTCGACCCTTCCTAAATGGTCGTCTTATACTGATAACCTTTTGTTGTCGCTTACTTACAGCCGATAACTTGCTTACTAGGGGAGCTACGTAACGTTCTGATCATCAAACATATATCTAGAGAAAGGATTCACATACAAAGGTAGATCTCAAGACACTACATTGGTGTGGGAATACCTGGTAATTATTTTGATGTTCTATCTCTTTTCATAGTTTGTTTTTGAAAAGCCAAGGGGAGTCCTTTCCGTATGCAAGTTTAACCCCGCACTTTACATCTTGAGGGATTTTGTATTGGGTCTGAAGCACATCAGGTTCTGTCTATCACAAACAATATATCTGAAGCTCATGCTGCCAATAGTATTGGTGCTGTTAAAGTAGTGGGTGTTGAAGAATATCCATACAACATGTAAAGCATTATAAATCAACTACAAGGCTTGGAGAGAAGGCTTTTCGTACTTTCCTCCTCACCTATTTTGTGGAGTGGGGCACCCACCATTTCGATAACTTCTCCGCATGTCAACGCGGGTCGACTAATCCTAGCTAGAAAACGTCACTTTGGCCACAAGCTCCAAGGGTTTCCCTATCCACCTTTGAACTATACGGAACTGTTCTTCCGTCTATTTCTAATAACTACTTCAAGAAACAGCTTTCATGCATCTTTCCAATCTAGCTTCGACAAAATATCCAACCATAGATATCTAATTCTCCAATCATTAATTTCTTGGCCATTTCAGTATACACATACTAGTCTAGAATATTAGATCTTCTCTTCGAGTGATACCGAGTACCTCATCCTTTTATCTCCGAAGCATCTCCGTCATTCGTTTTAAGAAGATCGGATCAAATGGCTACAGCATATTTGGCATCTTGGGCACATGGTCTAAAATATTCCGATTTACCACCCGATGTCATCCGAGCTGCCGTGCGAAGTTTCTATAACTGGGCAGGATGCGCAATCAGTGGAAGTGATCATCCAGCAACTACTATAGCTGTAAGTTTCCATCTCTAGCTTCCATGTTTCCAAGTATTCAATGTACTGAATCTCCATGAAAGTATACTTCTTTGTCTCCATTCTTTGGTACTCCCCCGGCGTCATTGCTTGGCCACAAAGGATCTCGTCGTGTCGATGCACAGCATGCAGCTTTGTTGAACGGAATAGCATCTCACGTGCACGATTACGATGACACCCATCTCGATACAATTATCCATCCCACAGGTCCAGTTGCTAGTGCACTTCTCGCAGTTGCAGAATGGAAAGGTGGCTTCTCGGGAAAAGAATTTCTACTCGCCTTGATCGTGGGCATTGAAGCGGAATGTAAAGTTGGTCTGGCAGTCTGGCCAGAACATTACGATGCAGGGTGGCACATTACATCCACGACAGGCTCTATCGGGGCTGCAGCAGCTGTTGCGAAGCTACTAAATCTTCCTATTGATCAGACAACGCACGCATTGGGAATCGCCGCAACACAAGTTGTTGGCTTGAGAGAAATGTTTGGGTCGCACACGAAGGCTTTTCATCCCGGTCGTGCAGCTCAAAATGGTCTCATGGCTGTGGTGTTGGCTCAAGGCGGTTACACTAGTAGTGAACAGGCTTTAGAAGCTAAAAGAGGCTGGGCTAATGTTGTTGGTGTTACAAAGCCAGATATTGGGGAAAGTCTAGCGAAATGGTTGGGAACTAATGATGCCTTTGGTCTGCCCACTACAGAAAGGCCTGATAGGTGGGAGATTTTGAGAAATAGCTTCAAACCATTCCCATGTGGGATTGTGGTTCATCCTATTATTGATGCTTGCTCTCAGCTCAAGCTTGACGTGGAAGGTGCTGAGTTGAGTGCTAAGGATATCAAATCTATTGAAGCGAAAGTCCATCCTCTTGTGTTAGAACTCACTGGAAAAAAGAAGCCTCGAGATGGACTGGAAGGCAAGTTCAGCGTTTATCATGGGGCTGCCATAGGTCTTTTATTTGGAAAAGGAACTCCGAGTCAATACGAGGACCACGTAGTTCAAAGCCCAGAAGTTATTTCTATCCGCGATAAAGTCAATGCTGTAGCTGACAGTAGTTTGGGTGCTGACGAAGCAATAATAACGATCATCTACGAGAATGGGAAAGGACTTCAAAAACATGTCAAGCATGCAATTGGAAGTGTGGAGGTACCAATGGATGATCTAATGCTGCAGCAGAAGTTCGTAGACCAGTGCACTAGTATTTTAGGCGAATCCGTGAAGGAAGCGAGCGATGCTTGCTGGGATATCGAGAATGCCAAGGACGTTGCCGATATTGCTAGAAGTATCTAAGTTAGTCTATAAGAATGCAACTGGATATCGGAAAGTCTCGAAAATCACTCTGGGTGTTTTGAAGCGTCACATCATCTTTGTTTACTATTTGTCATTTTCATGATTTCTTAATTTAAGAGCAAACTCAATGTACCTAAATGGCGGAAGATTCTTCACTCAACAAAGAGTCTCCAGATATTGCTCGAAATATCATAGGTTTCCTTGGATGGTTTGTACTGTAAATAAGAGATTTATTTCTACATGAATTATTCTGATTGAATATCATCACAGGCTCGGATACTTACTCATCAGAAGTGACATCTTGGACTGAAAGAAATGCTCAAAACAATTTTCTTACTCACCAAATTCTCGTTAGTTGTTCATGTGTGGCGCATCGATCAATAGTATTCGATTTCCAGAAATCATCAGTATTTCTATGCTGCATCACGTTATGTGTGATTTTACAATCTTTCCAGGCTGAATTTTTCTCGACATCTGTAGGACCGTTTTCATAATCCAGACTCCAGAGGCTTGTGGTTGAAACTTATCATCTCAAACTTCAACTTCGATCCCTCACTCAAAACGAGGAGGCAACACTTCCCCCCTAGTCCTTAAAAGATCGTTCACAGGCTGATACAATTTCCTCTCCCCATTTCCCTCTGCATATTCTTTCATATCTTCCCACCGCACCCATTCCCAGCCTGCGCACTTCTCGGGCTCCACATTCCTCGGCCCCTCTCCTTTCCCATCCCACCTCCCCACCATCCAAATCGTCACGTAATGTCTCCTTTCCTTCTGCCCCTCCTTCCCATCCCCCTCCAAAACACTATTCGTCGCCGTTAAAAGCCGTACATCTTCCTTCCTCAAACACAATCCCGTCTCCTCTTCCACTTCGCGTATAGCGCATTCTTCAAGCTCCTCGCCAAATTCAAGATGGCCTCCCGGATGAGCCCACATGCCTGCGCCGTGCGAACCGAGTCGTTGGCCCATGAGGAAAATGGGCGAGGTGGGAGTGGAGAGGGGATGAGTGGGGTGTAGAAGGAAGATCCCTACGCCGACGCGGGGATGCGGGGGGGGTGGGAGTGGACATTTCAGGTTGTGTTTTTGTTTTTGTTTGTATGGTTGGAAGTTTGGGGGTTTTGAGGATTTGGATGTTATGGGAGGGAATGTGTGATGGGGGTCTAGGGGAAAGAATGGTCTTAAGAGGTGGGCAGTCAGAGAAGTGGGTGGAGATGATGAGTCATCGTGAATCAAGTTTATGGAGTGTCACATCCAATGAAGCTCGGTATTGTCCCCATCCGATTTGGAAATTAACATTTATGGATCCAATTCAGGATATACAATCTACGATTTATTTCATCTTTTGCGTAGGTATTTCGCTTGAATACTATAAATTGGCGTTATTAAATCTCTACTCTCTATTACAGCACCCGTACACATCTCATCCAATATAAGTAAACCTGATGTATCTCATCTGATTTCACAGCATGGACATAATTATCGTATCTAAAACCTCAAAAGGCGATAGAACAATGCGAGATACATCAGTCCATCAACAAGCCCCTATCCACAAGCTTCCCTTCATTTCATCCCCACACATCAAAAGTTACTCAAGATATCTCAAGATGAAACAAGAACATACAATACGCTCCCTCAAAGCGTAACGCAATAGTAATCTAGTAGTATCTCGTTCGATCTCCTCATCATCCCTAGGTACATAAAGAAGAGTCGAGCGGAATACATACATGAGCGAGAATACATACGCTACATGTGTTCTCTCTCCTTCTATATCTATCTTCTGTAACTTTCCACGGAGCATATAATCCCCTCCTCATCCTCTCAAATTTTCATGATGTTGATCGTTGTTTATTTGTTATACTTCGGAGGATACATAGATTACCACTGTACTATCTAATCTCATATGCGAAATCATTTGCGAAATGGCAAGATATCAGTTTAGTTATGGAGACGACGATGATAGCAGTTCTGAGAGTGAGGTATATACTCCTCCTTCTCCTTCTCCTTCTCCTTCTCCTTCTCCTTCTCCTTCTCCTTCTCCTTCTCCTTCTCCTTCTCCTTCTCCTTCTCCTTCTCCTTCTCACTTTCTCTCTCATCTATCCCGAGAATGAATAACTAATCTCCAATCCTTCACTGCAGACCAATTCAGCACCACCATCATCATCATCATCAAAACCCCCTTCTCCGACCACCCAGCCCAACAGCCAATCTAGCAAACCACTCACATGCACCAGCCCTCCATCCCCCTCCCTCAACCTCCACAGTCATCTCCACCCCCTCTTGATATTCACAGACGAGAAACCTACCTTTCCCCGTCCACAGCCCTCCAACAACCCCGACTACCCATTCACAATCGGCCGAGACCGCCACCGCACCCCCCAAACAACTAACCTATTCGAAAAATGCTCTCAAACCGTCTGCCCCCCCTCCACCCCCATCCTTCCACCCACCCTCCAAAACTCGCATCCCCCTTCCGCAATCCCTCCCAAAACCAGCACGAGCCAATCTCACCCCAACACTCTCACTCTCCCCCTCTCAAATCTCCACCTCCATCTCCACCTCCACCTCCACCTCCACCCTCATAACCCACCTCGCCCACCTCTCCCACCAAGTCTCCACTCTCACCTCCTCCCACCGCACCAAAAGCGCGGAACTGCACGCCCTCCAAACCCTCTACACCTCACAAAAATCCTCCCAAAAATCCACCACCGCATCCCTCCAAAAACTACCCGCGCACTAGAGAAAATGATGGATTCCACAACCTGGTATCGATCAGTGATCGAGACGCAGGAGCGCGAGATCTCCGAAGCCGAGACGAAGAGACAAGAAGCCGAGAGGAAAAGTCGGGAAATGGAAGAGAAGATAGAGAATCTGCAGCGGGAAATTGAGCTGTGGAGAGTAGGGTGGGAGGAGAATGAGAGGAGAGCTGGAGGATTGTGAGGGATTCTTATTTCTTGGCGTTCATTTCGGGGGATGATAAGGAGGAAGAAGAATTCTGTCGCTGAGAGAATTGTTAAGAACTTATAAGATCATAGTTACTTATTCATATCTGTGTTGTTATTTGTATTCATAATCATATTGATTTTCATTTTCATTACGTTGCATTTTCCATGCCAACCGCATCATCATCCAAAGACAATTCCAAGCATGATACTTCATCATTTCATCAAGATACTCTTCCCGCAACCCCAACCAAACAATCCGCTAGATCCTCACCTCACAAATGTCCCTCCACTTAATACCATGTACCCCCCTCGGAATCCCCAACGCACCCGCCGTCCAAGCCGCCAAACTCATTTCCGTCACCCACGCCAATCCAGTCTTAACCCAACTATCTTTTCTTCCCCAAACCATCGCTTCTCCCACCGTCGCAAAGCCATTCAGCACAAAGAACGTTCCGATGCGGAAAAGTGCTTTACCCGTCAACATAGGAGCTAAAGCATAAACATGAAAAGCCGCCATTAGGAAAAAGGCAGCTAAGATGCCCATCGATCGAGCGATTGGGATTGAAACTCCTAGTTTTGGAAGATTCTGACGGATAGGATCGTAGGCGAGAGAGGCACAGGGGGCGGAAAATACATTGTGCCATGTTTTTGACCTGGGATTGTTAGTTTTGCGTTCCTACTTCAAGGTTTCGAAAATCAGATGACTCACCAGAAATCTCCTAAACTCTCTACAGCATACAATCTTCCAAAAAGGGCTGGACTACCTTTGTACCTTACTACTAACTGAATAGCTGTCCAGATAATGTAAATACTTAATTGAACTTCAAATGCTAGAACCAATGCCCAATCCTGCGGTAACGCTTGCAAAGCACAGAAAATGGCAACATGGATTGCGAATTGCAGCGGTTCATTGAAAGTTTCCTGAGATCGAGGAACACGAACGAAATTTGGAGTAAAAGATTCATAGCGCATTTCCGTTAGGAGGAGAAGTGCGTGTTTCCATGTTGGCGGATCATTTCTGAGTTGAGGAAGGGAGCGGTGTCGAGCATATACATCCAAGAGTCTGAGGGTCGCAATTGCAACTAGACGGAATCAGTACATTGTAGTTTTGTTGGTTTCTTCACGCGGACTTTGTGAAGATGGAGATACGAACCAGCGAAATTCTCAACGCAGCTACTGGGCCACAAGAAATCGGATTCATCCAACTACTCAACCAAAATGTGACTAAAGATAACGCCGATAATTTCTTAAACTTTCCATATTGCCCCTTGAGCAAGAAGTAAATGGAGAAATAGAAAATCTCGGTGGGTATGAAAAAGAAAGCAGCAGCTCTAATGGTCTCGTGACTCCATTTCTCGAATGCTGGAGAAATGGCGGTTGAAATTGGGAAATTGAGAGAGGATGTTGCGTTCATTTTGTTCCTTCTTCAAGCAGGATTTGGCGTGATTTATATAGTCCCTTTACAGGGACAGTTATATATATATCGTAGAAGTAGGTTTGATATATAATTGAGTTGAAATAAAAAACTGATGTCTCGTGATCTTCTTTTTCATGTATGTCAAAGCTAAGCAAGGTAGATATTCGATGTCTCAGCCAATCTGTGGAGAAAGTTTGTTGAATATGTGAGACGATATGATAGATATGATAGTAGTAGAGTATAATGATATCTTGAGAGCTTTGAAGGACTACCAATGAATGAAAAATAATTTATAATGCTGTATGGTAGTTGCAATGAAGTTTATTTACTCCAATTTCAGCTCAATCGACGCACAGGGAAGTCGGAATGTTCGGATGAGGCTTTCAAGGTTATGGAAGCGGAGATATCTCCGTGCAACGAACGCAACGGAAGGAAGGAAAGAGAGGATGGGACTGGAAGCCGAATTGAAGGACGGGTATATAATTGATATGATGTGATGTGAAGTATGTATAGGTACTCATGATTAACTTATGAGAAGATATTTAACTTATTATCAAATGATTAGGTAATGTTGATTTCTTCACCATTTCTCTCGTCTCTCTCTCGCTCTCGCTCTCTCTCTCTCTCCCCCCCGCTCTTCTACATATGCAGGTATATTACATGGCAACCACCAGCAAGCAGAAATGAAAATCTCATCATCTTCGCGAACCCGAGTATGCACTTGGTAAGCAAAGTATTCCTATTGAGCTACCGGCATTAGTCCGGTGAAGAATGCCGATGATAGTACGATGTCCCGTCTGGATGGATGGAAATGATTGGCTCCGAGGAAATGCAAAAAGAGGTGGAAAAGAAAAGAGGTTGGGATCAAAGCTGCCTAGTACACAGTCTGCCTTCCGTTTAAGTGTCTTATATCCGATCCGATAAAGTCATCGCGATCGACATTGCACAGATGCATTGATTACTCATCTTTGGGAAGATAGTCGAGTACAAAGTACCAGGCAGGGCAGGTACGAGTACGAGTACTCCGTATATCGACCTAGATATTCAACTATGAGTTGTTTCAGATTTTTATATCGAAAGATATTGATGACGTACCTTAATAGGTAATATGTATGTATCTTTATATACCTACCTAGATATATATACATATCTAGATAATAAATACGTCAATCCAAAATTACCCTCTCATTTAACCCCAATAATATATATCAATCATATATGTTCTCGTCTATAACACATACCTTCTAATAAACCAACCAACACATGTCAACTACACACATCACTTAGATACTACCCAACTACTTACTCAATCATCATAATTTCAAAGTTGAGTTCTTCTCTATTCCTGTCATCTCAAACCTGGATACTACGTATAATTTTACATAAACCACCTAATCCTTTTTCATCATCCACTGACCCCTCCTTCCTCCCTTTGGCAATTCCAATCCCCTCATATCAAATCAGTGAAACCAAAGCGGCGCAATGATAACCTCCGCCATGAAACTCCATCTCATGCATAAAATGCCATTGTTACCTAAATTAAAATAAAACTTTCTTTCCATGTCGCTGCAACGCCGTCCTTTTCCTCATATACACATTGAATCCTGTTCTAGTAAAACACGCGCTTATGAATATTTGGTAAATCAATAAATTACAAAGTAGTTTGTTTGGTTTCGTTTGAATCGTCCCAAAGTGAACAGACTCCTCATCTTCGTCTATGACGATCTCGATGGTCTTTGCCCTTCTTGCCCTTCTTCTTATCCTTTGGCAACTCAATGGGTGCATTTGCCAGTTGCACAGACATGAATTTCAACATGTATTCATCCGCTGCTTTCACTGGTTGGCCCCAAGCATTGAGTTCGTCTTCATCAATCTCCATGAGGTCCTCAACGGTAGGTGTTCCATCGGCACCAGGAGTTGGGCCACCTTCTGCAGGAGTTCCCGTGCCACCTGGAGTAGCAGATGCTGTAGCTGCGTTCTCATCGAAATCGGCTGCGTCGGTCTGAACAATTTCTCGTTCGGCGACTCTAGCTGCAGCGACATCCTCGCGATCTTCGGCTTGAGCGAACACGCGTCGAACATCTTTGTCGTTGTCAGGGCCACCCAAAACTCGATCCATGGCTGCATTGGCTGCGGCATCACCATCCATAAGACTAGATTCTTCCCCTCCAATGACATCTCGTACGTTCATCTTGTTGAAGTAATCCGTGGTAAACTCTCCTTCTTGAATAACGACATCGTCAAGCATACGCTTTTGGTTTGCTTTGCGTAAGATGTTGGCCTCGATAGTATGTTCTGAGACCAGACGATAAATGTGAACATCTCGTGTTTGTCCAATACGATGGCAACGATCTTGACATTGCTTGTCCATGGCTGGATTCCAATCCAAATCATAGAAGATAACAGTATCCGCACCCGTTAAATTAATACCTAGACCGCCCGAGCGACTGGATAAAATGAAAGCAAGAATTCGAGTATCATTGTTGAAGCGATCCGTAAGAATTTGTCGTTGCTCAATCTTGGTAGCTCCATCAAGTCGTAGGTATTTGTGTCCGTGAATATTGAGAAATTGCTCAAGAATATCAAGCACCTTTGTCATTTGAGTGAAGATTAGTGCTCTGTGCCCGCCGGCCTGCAGTTTGCGCAATAATTTGTCCAGAGTTTGCAATTTACCGCAGTCATATTGCAAAAGACGCTTATCCGGAAATTGAATGGATAGTCTCATGCGTGCCTCGTGGAAGGGATCTGTTTCTCGAGTGGCGACGGTGCTTTGAAAGTTACTTACACCTTTAGGTGTGAACATAACTGAGTTCATGTCTCGCGCCACTACAGGTGGAGTTACACAAGCAAATTTTTGGATGGTTGTATGTAGGGCTTGAGATCGTGAGGTAAATGTCGGAACCATCGAACGCATAATTGGCGAAGACTCCTCCAACCATTCTATCAACTTGGTTCGTCGCTTAGGCTTCGCTTGTAGTGGATGCTGATCAAGACGAAGATCTAGACGTTCAATGAGGGAACTACCATAGATAGGTTTCTGTTGTCGTCTAAGTGCATTGAGATATACGCAATGCTGAAGCTCTTCGAATCGTCCCCACCTGGAAGCACTTTCCAAATACACCAGATTTGACTTGACTGTTGAAGGGTCGAGGTTGGTAAATGCATTCTGGGCTCTTGCACGCTGAGCCTCCCTCATTACTTCTAGGGCACGCCGGGCACTGAGTCTGTTGATTTCGGAGGCCAAAATACCAGGCAAGTATTCATGCTTCGCGGGCACGAGATTCAAGAAATCCAAGCTAACTCTAGACATAGGTTCCTGGCGGAACATTTTTCTACGAACTAAAAGATCCTTAATCTCAAAGTCGGTGATTGCAGACTTTTCCATTGGAAAAGAAGTCATAATGGGTCGATCTAGAAAGAGATCTGGATGATTACAAACTTTTCGCAGTTGCATCAGACAATTGATGATGGAAAGATAATTACCCGATGCAAGGGTATCTCTGGTATCATTTCGACTTAGAAAGCTATCGTAAAGCTCACGTTGTCTTTTGGACAAACGACAGAACTCAACGTGCTCGTACTTCCCGGGCATTTGTTTTTCGACATCTGCTTTCAATCGCCTGAGAAGGTAAGGCCTGAGAACCTTGTGAAGTTTGCTAATGATTGCCTTCGATTCATCATCCATTTGCTCTCGGCCATGCTCTAAGATTTGTTCTGTCGGCTTTTTGAACCAGTCTTGGAATTCTTTCAAATTTGCAAAACCACCAACACCTTGCTCGCTTCCATCCGAGGGCATCAAGAAGTATAGTAAGGACCACAATTCCGTCAAGTTGTTTTGCAAAGGAGTACCGGTCAGTAACAATCGCGCTCGAGTGTTGAAATTCAGCATAGTTTGCCACCTTTGAGATTGGAAATTCTTGATGTTGTGAGCTTCATCAAGAATCATGTAGTGCCATTGTCGTCGCTTGAACACTTGCTGATCCTGAATGACAAGTTGATATGATGTAATGCATACATTCCAAGCATCATCATCCTTCCAGCCAGCACGTTTGCGTTTTCTCTCTTCCTGATTCCCATAGTAAGTTAAGATTTTGAAACCTGGACACCATTTCTTGAATTCCATTTCCCAGTTGAGCATAACACTAGTGGGTACGATGACAAGATGGGGGCCCCAGACTTGGTGTTCGCAGGCCAAATGAGCTAATAAAGCTATGGTCTGGATTGTTTTCCCCAATCCCATCTCATCCGCTAGAATGCCGTTTGTGTTGTTCGCATAAAGACCGGCAAGCCAATCTAAACCATAGTGTTGGTATTCTCTAAGGGTGCCACGCAGGAGAAAAGGAACCGGAGTCTTCAGTCCGTTTGAAGGTTGAGGGGTTGCGCTCTGTGTGTTGCGGCGACTACTATGGTGAAGATCCACAGATGATGCCGAATCCACCTCTGAAGGCTTAGTTTCGGTTGTTCTTGGAGTGGGCTGGCTGCTTCGATCGGGACTCATCGCTGAGACCTCTTGTGGCTGATGTGCAGATAACAATTCATTTACCTTGCTAGATGAATCATGATGCTCACTTGTGGACAGTTCTTCGATCAGAGGTGACTTTTTGGATGTTCCATTCATTAAAGGCGGTATAGATTCTCCATTGGGTATGGAGGGAACTTCACTATCCTCGGTATCTAAATCCATTGCGTCGTCTGGTACGACTGGAGTTGAACCTTCGCCCATACCTTCCACCACTTCTGCAACGGGCCCCAACTCAGCTTGCCTCGTTTCAAGATCTTTGATATCGGAAGGCAAAAGAAATCCAAGAAGATCAGCACGGCTTCCTCCATCCACGTCATTGTCCTCTTCCTCATCACTGTCCTCCTCTTCGTCGCTGGATTCAGTGTCGTCATCCATGTCTATGGAAGGATCGCTTTCCATGTCTTCATCTTCGCTGCCGTTTCCAGTCATTTCTTTGTCATCGCTGGCTGGCACAACATCTGGCAGGGCGGCGTATTTTTCGCGCAGTTCATCAACAGTAAGTTGCTCATCCTCGTGTTTGGTATTCTCTTCGTCAGCCTCCGATTCCGAAGAGGACATATTATCTTCGTCGTCACTAGGGTCAGAATCTAGATTGTCATCATTATCGGAATCATCATTTGCATCCTCATCTTCATCATCATCCTCTTCAGTGTCTTCTTCCGAATCCTGTTGCGCTCTACGAGCCTGAAGCTTTTGCGTAGAAATGTCCACAGCTTCGTTGAGGGCTTTCCGTACCCGAGCTTGTTCCTGTGCCTCCCATTCAACTAGGCGCCGCCGATTAACCTCTGCTTTAACATTTTCCCAGGTACCCAAGAGACTCTTAAGGACACTTTTATAACGCACTTCAGACGCCCTTCTTTCCTCTGCCTCCAGTTGTTCATGAGACTTTGGTTGTCGCCGGGTCCATTCATCTCTGCATGCCTCAGCCAGTTGTTTCGCGAGCCTCAAATGCTCCTTTTGTTCCCTGATCATGAGCATCCTGAAGTGGAGGGCAGCTCTTACAAGATGATCTTGGTGGGCATACTGCGGTGGCATGGGGTCTTGTTTCTCAGGACGATTTAATGAAGTCCCCAAAACACCACGTTCCACCGCATCTTCAAGCTGTATAATTGTATGGGCTTCTTTCTTGGCATCTTCCTCGGTGAAAATGACCGCATCTTCGGCGCTATACAAGCCACCTGCTTCTACTGGTGTATTTTGACCCTGCTCCCAGAACTCATCGAAAGACCCAAATCTTGACGGTACCGGAAGCGACCTTGGATGTACCACAGGGACGGCCGCTGGCTTGACTCGAAGTCTAATTTTTGTTGGTGTAGATTTCGGGGTTTGATCTGCCATACTCTCTGCTTCTATTGCTGGCGATGAATTCGTAAGGTCATTCTGAATTACTTCAGAAGCTCGACCCGATCGGCGCAACCTCGAATTTGAAGGCGTTGACTGTGATTCTTTAGTAATCGTGGATTTTTTGTTGCTAGATCGCATTTGTGTTGAATTCTGCTCCGAAGGTATGGACTTTCGATGCGAGCGCTTTGGCGATGTTGATAGTTTGACTGGGGATTTCAATACATTTTGGCTGGTAGACTTTTTGGAAGCTTGGGAGGTTCCGGGTGTGGATGTATCTCGATTTGAAGAGGAGTGAATGCCATTCACATTTCCATGTTTACTTTTCGAGGTGACAGCCTTTTGCGCCGCACCCCGCGTTGTCCTCTTCTCGGACGGAGGTTGTAGCTCCAATGGTATCTGATTCACACGGCCTGATTTGCGTTTTCCATCGACAGTAAAAGAAGTTGGACCTTCTGCTAAGACTTTTTTCCAGGGAGGCGATTCGGGTTTGCGCTTCTGTATAGTCTTTGTCTCGCTGCTGAGTCGCCGCCTCTTGCTCGGGGGTGCTTCTCCATCTCCATTTTCAATCGCATGTCCATTCGCTTTCGGGGTTTGTAGCACATCTTCAATTGGAGGTATATCTGATAATAAAAATGTTAATTTTAAGTTGTTGACAAGATTTTCCATTATGGCCCTTACCAAAGATTTTTTCACTCTCGGGAGCTTCTGACGCGGTTGTCATACTTTTTACGAGAGGGGAGGCTAGACACTACCTTGAACTTCATGAACTTTTCATTTGAAATCTTAAAACTACTTCGTAAGGTTCCGTACATCATAAGGATCCTTCATATAAAATTTGAGCATGCCCAGATGCTTTTATCGTTCGCTGTACAAAAATTACGTGCTGAAGAAGGAAGTACGAAGAAAATACACCTTCTTCGCGTCGAGATTCCGTCCAACTGCCACTAGTTTAACGTTTAACCGAACGAGTAACATCCCGTCGACCTCTGATTACAAGTGACAGAAGACGACGTCTAAAAACAATTGCGATTAACTGCGGAGGCTCATTCAAGGTACGCCATATACATGTTACCCTAATTACATTAACCTCGACTTATTGATCAATAACTCGCAGATGTTTTCCCGACGAATTGCGGCAGCGCGACCACTGCGAACTTCCATTATCCCACGTCAAACAACCCTCATATCACAGAGATGTGCCAGCCAGGCAGCTGCCCCCAGCGGCCCAGTTCTACCATTGGTCAGTCTGCTTGATCGCAGTTATTTGTTTCGGGGGAAGCGTAGACTGACAAAGTAGGCTGAAGACCGATATTGAAGATCCTGGCATGGTTAGTGTAGTTCGACTTCGATTTCTGAAATGGATACTAATACAGCATGAAGAACGGAGGATATATCAACCCACCCAGAATCAAGCGTCAATTCCGTGACCCTAATGCCGACTGGTGGGATAAGCAAGAGCGAAGAAATTACGGAGAGCCAGTTCATGAGGATAATGACATCTTGGGCATATTTTCACCAGAAGAATACACACATCAAAAGGTCGGAACTGCTGGATTTCAATTTGGCATTTTCATTTTATCTGTGTTGGGACTTTGCACAGTCGTGGGCATGACGTACCCAGATAAGCAATCCGCTCCAAGAGAATTTGAGGGTGGACTTGAGAGAGAATTGGGTGGCCCAACTGCAGTCAGGGTACGTTACGATATTTGCGAGTCTCACCAGTTGCTTTTTACTGACGCAAAGAACAGGCCAGAGCTGCTGGAGATCCATTGTGAAGGAAGGCGGCTATGTATATATGAATATCAATTTGAGCAAGTTCTGAGAAGCACTATATGTTTTCAAACCTCCATCAACTCCAAGCCTTTTCTCATAGAAGTTACGATCATGGCAAATAGTGCCTTTCCTAAAGTATTTTGAGATAGCGTAGTGAATTTTCCTCTCAGGTAAGGGCGTGGGATGTCATATCCAGCTTGATGAAATCTGGTGGCCATATTAAACAGGCGGATAAGAATCACCAGTATTCAGGTCGTTCCTTCCTCAATCAATCAAACGCGATGTTCTTACCAAATCATCTTTTCTCTAGCCAAGCCTCTTACCTGGATAAAGCTTGCATGATTTTGCTCTATCCTCAGATCTAAGAACTTATCACTGCTGCCCTTCTTTCTCTTTCTTTCAAGATTTGCTTCAATACTTGCTTGTGGTTATGCCATAACCTATCAGCTTATATTTGATTCCTAGTGATTAAAAGCCATTCAAAATGCGTTATCAGAATTGGGACGTTCTCATGTTTCCACATGAATTATGCAAGATCCCAATGCAAGAGTTCAAAACTTCCTGTCAAGTTGTTCAGGACCACGGTAAGTACTTGCTTCCAAACTGGAGGCCAATGTCTCCAAACTGATGCAATCGCAGAAGTCCATTACTCGCAGACCACTGCTCTGATACTTCCTATGGTTACTTGTTTCATACCAAGCTTAGCTGCTGGAGAGCCCTTCCGAATTTCTATCCATTCTTGGCAAAATCCCGAAGCCAGCCGTTATGTACAACATATCAGCAATAGAAATGCGGAATATGTTATGTTTGAAGCTCGTGTATTTGTGGATGGACAGATTGCTGGGTAGGCCTCAACCATTTGTCGCAGGCAAGCAGATGTATTGACTAGTCTTAAGTACTAAGCTCTTTCATCGAAACGGCCCTTGGCCAACAGTTCTCGAAACTAGTGTTGGTAATAAAATCATTCTTCTTTTTCACCTGTACCTAGTATAAACATAACTATATACTGGAATGACCGAGAGCCAGCATTGTCTAACAATCTATAGAGCTCGATAAACAGGGAGATTGCAAAAAACTCGAGTTTCCTGCCTTCCATCGAGAACTTCTATCGCAAAGTTATTGGAACCCGGGAGACGACCCTCGGACGTGTAAAAGTAGTGGTATCGGAAGGTATTCCAAGAGATAATATTTTCTATGCCTTCGAGCGTATCAAGAACTTAGTAGCTTTCTCGTTTCAGCATGCTCCATTAGGTATATCCATTAATTTTCATTTCCATCATGACAGATTATCAACCTAAACAACTCTTAGACGTCTTGGAAGCTTCTTCGATTGCATGGCCAAATGCGGCCATGTGGCGCCAGGTATCTCTTGTTGCACCTATCTACAATCAGCATCCATCGCCGAAACGGGTTGAAGAGGATCACGAGGCTCATGCCCATTCTCCACGAAAGTCACAAAACATAGATTTCTTGTCTTCGCAATCCAACTCTATGCCACCACCAGCAGCACCATTCTCAAAACCTCCAAATTCGACCCATTCACTGCTGACTCACACGTCCTGCCTTTGCAGGCTGGCGTCGTCAAGGGGTCTCAACCGATACTTCTATGCCGGATCTTTCAAGTGATTCTAGTGGACAGGCAGGTAGTATTCGAAACGTATCAGATCCTATGATAATCGAGAAGGCATCTCGAAACAATGACATGCAGAGTATGGGCGCATACGAATCTCTCTGTGAAGCATTACTGGCCACCTGTACCTGTTAACACACCACAGAATGAATCTGAAATGACATCGGCAAACATAATTTCACTTCGACAGACGTCTTTGCAAAGAGTATCTAGCAGAGTCGGCCCCGTTGATCGTGTAACAATACCACGCGCAATCGGTGCACTGGATGCACCCGAAGGACTAGTATCTCATATCGAAGAGGCTCGACTCCGTGACTCTAGAAGATTGAGCTCTTCTTCGCTGAGTTGTGCTAACAAGGAGAATGAAAGTCGAAGTCCAGCAGCTCCATCGGAAAGCACTGGTCTTAACAATCAGAGAACTGCAAGTGATGGTTCTACTAGAAGAACGTCTAATCTTTTTACATCCACCAATGCAATTGGCACTAAAAGACAAAGGAACGTTACTCCTGCTTCCTCAAAGGCCATTGATGATGAAGATGAGCCAAGATCCTCTCCCTCGTTGAGAAAGGTCTCGAGGCAATCAAATGCCAGTGGGAATGGGAGGGGAAAGGATGCTGAAAGAAGAGTTTTAAGTACCGTTGATAATGCTTAAGGAGAGAAACAAACCATGGAGAGGATGTGGGGCATGATGTGTAGCCTAAAGTTCGCGCTTATATCATGTTTGATGGGGGACCTCGAGAGACTTAGGCAGTGGTGGACTGAGTATCACTTGGCATTCATTTGTTTTTGTTTTTATCAATCATGAGGTTCCGATGCGTTGATTTCTTGTCACAATTATTGCTATCGTTATTAATATCGTTGTTGTTGTCTTTGCCTGTTTGTTATTATTTTCTTTTCAGTGGAGAACTCGAACGTGTTTTATTCAGTTGATTCGATTAGTTGAGGGAAAGTAGGAATGGCAGTATACCTGGAAATAATCAATAATTTTTCAATAGCATTGGCAAGCTTTTAGAGTGACATGTGATTGTTATGTTGTGTTGTATGTACCATAAGGATAAACGTGAGGGCATATGTGACTTATTGTGTGTTATGAAGGAAAATGGTGGTAGATGAGGATGTGTATACTTCATGTGTGAAAATCATTGGGAGAGGTGAGACTATGTGTACTCGCTAAATGAAGGATAGAAGAAATATGGCGCAAGGAAATTGTATGGGAATCGGACATGGAAGAGGACATGTGAGGAGGAGATTGCAGAAAGAGAGGAAGGAATAGTTTAAGAAGGGGAAGTGGGTGTGAGAAATAGATTGGAGATTGGAGGTTAGGAGTGAGGTGGAGATATTGGGTCCCCCAAAGGAGATAAAGTTGAAGATTTAGTTTGGACGGCAGTGGGATTTGAGCGTGATAAAAAGAAGGACACAAAGGTGTTTGGGAAGGTTGATAGAAAGTTGGGATGAGATAGGATAGGATAGGATAGGATAGGATAGGATAGGATAGGATAGGATAGGATAGGATAGGATAGGATAGGATAGGATAGGATAGGATAGGATAGGATAGGATAGGATAGGATAGGATAGGATAGGATAGGATAGGATAGGATAGGATAGGATAGGATAGGATAGGATAGGATAGGATAGGGTATGGTGGACTAAGAAAGAATATGTCCCCTTCGAACATCTCGGTCACAGCTTCAAGCTTCAGTACCTAGTATATATAATGTGTGTGTGTGTGTGATGTCGAGTGAGTATTCATAATTGTATCCTACTCGTCTTATCGCAAACCTATCTAATCTCTTATGTTTGTCAAAAATGAGGAGATCAGGATGAGGGTGGTCGTGCTTACATGTATGCATGATATTTGATGACCTTCATTTCACTTCGTCGTAGGCTGCACATCTTGTTGGTCAAAAGAATTCAAATCTAGTCCGACGAGCGTGCGGACACCTCGTTCGGTGAAGGTGATGGATTCATATTTTGAAAGGGTATCTGCATCTGGAATGTATCAGGATAATAGCTATCTCAATAACATATATCATACCGTACTCATCTCAGAAACAATGCAATCCGGGCTCATACTCATACTCATCTCACCTCGAACTCAGACCCAACATCACAACTAACATCCTACAGCTCACAATTGCATTAAACCATAAATTTGTATTGTTGTGTTGTATTGTACTGCATCTATAATACACACTTTCTCTTCCCTCTCTGCTCCTCCAGCACCACTTCCAAAACCCTTTCCCGAACCCCATCCATTCCATTTACTCCCCAAAACATGATTGCACCCCCTATCCCCACTGATCACTCATGAATAACAATATGAATGTTCTTCGAATCAGCTCTGTTTCTTTTACCTCCCTCGCCACTTCTCCGGATTTCAATCGTTCCATCCTATGCATTCCAGTCTAATGTTCACTCCGAGGGTATGGTGTGGTATCGTGTTGTATCGCGACTTTGTCCACAGAACCAGAGATAAGCATTGCTGACTTTGCTCTCCCGTAAAAAGTATGTGTGATTTGTATGTGTTCGTCGAATTGAGGATACCAAATGAGGAACGAAAGAATTTGAATTCAAAAAAGAAATTAAACGCCTGTCGCTGATGATGATAAATGATGAAAGTGATGCCAAAGCCAGTTCCAAATGCAATGTCATCATAGAAGCCAAAAAGAAAAATCACAAATGCCAAGCCATGCCAATAATGCCATGATGGAGCCTACCCCCCATTGCCAAAAACGAAAGCAAGTGCCCAAACCGAGTAATCAAAAAAGGAGGTTCTGAGATAAAGCTCCCAGGATGTTCGATGAATTAGATTGAACCAGAAAACCCAAGCCGAAAAGTACGCCGTTGTAATGCCTCCTCGTCTTCGTCCCCTGAGTCGCTTGGTCGTCGTCGTTGCAGCAGATATTTGATGCCGGTGTTGATATACAGCCAGCTGTGTTGTTTAAGATAAGACGTATAAGTTTGTGTGGAGACCAGGAAATGAGTGGATAGTGTCGTAAAGTAGTATGGTGGAAGTGATCTTTCTTGTGATCTCTTTGCAAGCTCTTTGCAATGATCATTATGGAGAAAAATCATGAGTCGTTAATGAAAGCGGGATGTGTGTGATCGTGTGTGTTTGAGGGGTATCAATATTTGGTTCGCCTTTTTCCTGGTCCCGCGCATCATGTCATACCTCTCGGTCCTCTTTGGTATGTTTATTCTTCTTTCGACTTGACCAGCCTTGATGCCGCGATGCCTTCCGTTTTCGACATACCTCCTCGATTTCCTTGGTTTCCACGGCTAGTGGCTATTTCTTTCTGCCCCCAGCACCAGTAGATGTAATCTTAGACGTGGACATTAAGTCTCCGATGTACTTCTGTAAGAATTTGTTGTTGTTATCGAGTTTATCGTGCTCCTCTTTGACAGCTTCGATTCGATTAAATATTTCGAGGAGAGATTGTTGAAGAAGCTTAGCGTGTCTTTAAGGGAAGTACCGAGTTAGTATTGTTTGATATTCCGTATGGACGGTAGCATTCATGGGTGAGAAGGGAGGATAACATACTCGTTGAGTTGCGCTCTGGCATCTTGACTCATCTTCTCCAAATCCTCACTGTTCCTCCTTGGACTCATTGCTCTTGCATCATCCTCGTCGAAGACCTCGTCCCCTTCTTTTAATTCCACGCGCGGGTGTTCGCGCGGTACTATTATAGTACCGCTAGACTTTCTAGTACCAAGCTTTGGCCTCTTGATTGAAGGTGTACGACTAGCAGAGGTGTTTGCTGGCGTGCTTCCTCCATTTGCATCGGACGAAGATGTGCTTGATGAGTCGTTTGTTAATGGAGAGTCGGCCAGTGATGGATTGGCGGTACTGGGTTCCAAGGAAGAGGTTGGCGGGATGGCGGGAACCGTTGCTTCAGTTGGTGAAGCCATGATTAAAGGGAGTCGTGAGGTGTGAGGTGTGAGCTGGGTAGATGCTCGACTAGGCTGAAATGTACAGCTTTAAACAGAATGTCAAGTTTCGTGCCAACAACTTCTTAAACCGAGTTGACTGTCTTACTGGCAGACCTGATGTGGTATTGTGTGGTAATGGGATGGATGGTGTTGCCAAAGAGAAAGTGATGGGTATTGGCTCCGAGGGAATGTTCGTGATTGGATTCGAAGAGATGGTAATGGTGGTAGTAGTAGTAGTAGTAGTAGTACAAAAATATAATAATGGGGTATCTTTTGCTGGAGAAGAGAAATCGAATAAAATTGAAACTTTTTGATAGGAGTTTGATTGTTTTTTCCTTCTTCTTCTTCTTCTTCTTCTTTTCTTTTAGGATGAAAGCTCAGAAGAGCTACGAGCAAAAATAATTTGCATCGAATCTCTTCTTCTTTTTAATGTTTTTGCAAAAAGGAATCTTTCTTCTCTTTCTCTCTCTTTTTTTTTCTTCCGAAAGAGAGATTTTTTGGTGGAAAACAGTGGGAAAAGGTGTGTGGTGTAATGTGTGGTAGGTTATGGTTGGGAAGGTTCGAGTATATTGGGGTTACTTTTAGTGTTGTGTAGTGTATCCATTCAAAAAATCCGCCGTGACACCAAAATATTTGCCAGCCCAGTGTAGTAAAAAGAGTATCGGTATCCTTTTACTCTCACTAACTTGGTTCAGGGAAATAAATGGACGATGGAGGAGAGGATAAATGATAAATGTGGAAAGCTAAGACTAAAGAGGATACAACTTCGAGACGAGGTGTATCACTTCGGAAATGAATAATTTTCATTTATTCACAAATCACAAGATGGTTGGATAACATGGACTCTCTGTACGGACAGACTGAAGGGAAGGGTTTAGGTAGATATGGTGTATAACCAGTAAAGCAATTAGATGAATATCAAACGGTGCGTGATGAGCTTTTTGGGTATCTAGATGATCTCTTCTTCGTTTCACATAGGAGGTGTGTCGTCGATATTAGATACGTACCGGTACTTGGAACTACTTACTGTTACGACATGATGGAATGACTCGAATCACTAGATGATATATAGAACTTGAATAATGCAAAGCTTAGATGTACTTGTCTAGCATGCACAAAGCTAATTCAAGTGAGGTTGTGATGAAGGGGTAGCGTCGAATAACCCCGATCATATCACTCTCATAATTCTTATTACTTCAGTATGGTACGTACTCAAGTATATCCCTACGCTTTCCATATTGAGAAGATAGATATACCACATGGTAAAGATTCATATTCTTAATCATCCTGCGAGGTAGACTTCCTTCAATGATGAATTAGATTCTTATTTTCACTGATCTCTGCTGACTATTGAATCTTGAACATTGAATACAGAGAGAATTGATGCTACACACTTTAAATTCACATATATCCACATAATACAATTTATTCATTCGTCTTATTTGTATATTCACGTATTCACATATTCAATAGAAAGAAGTAAAAAGGTACTTAAGCCGAGGGGGCGGCGGGCAGCATCCTTCTCTACTTTTCTCCCCCTCCTAGCTTTTTTTCAACTTGCCCATGCCCGGTGTCTCTCCCTAGCTTGGCTCCCATGCTCGCTTTTTACAAGTTGTAGTGGACCCTGATAAAGCCATCAAGCACTAGGATACGTCGCTGCAGATCTTAACACCTGTGATTATGTGACGCTTTACTTCTCTGGTAGATTCCGAAGTGCCAATTATGCCACAACAAATTATGCTTGATCCACCCCTGACCGAGAATGATCCCGGACCTCTTAACACAACGGTCAGAACCTTACTTTTGAAAACAGAGAGAGAGAGAGAGGGAGGGGGAAGGAGAGAGTGTGTGTGCGTGTGCGTGCGTGTGTGTGTGTATTGAAGGGAATATTGAATTGTTGGTTGTGACTTAGCAACCCTATCTATTATTTAATCAAAAGCAGCAAATTTGAGGTGGAGTATAGAGACGTAGCACAATACGGCACAGTCGGTAGATATTTTTGATCAAATTATTAAATCATCATGGTTAGCGGTTGTGAGTGACACTACAGCATTCCCATTATTACGAAGTAATTTGAAACTACAGCGATGTAAATGAAGTGTATTGAGGGAAATGTTGATGTGTTCAGAACGTGCGTGTTACTCAAGGAACAACTTTTCCACCTACGGAGTGTCACCAATGATCGTACTCGAATATAAAATAGTGTACATATCTAAGTATCCACACCATCATGCAAAGCAAAGAGGAAAATGCAGTGGAAGGATCGTTTAGACGTTCCTAGGTAGATGCAACGTGCCGTAACGCCGTCGTCCGCTTCCTGTATGCAAGAGTTAAAAGGCTTCCTTAATTGTGATATCCAGATAGTCGGGTTAAGGAATCATGGATGAAGGGGGTTCAAAAAATCTTTTTGTCGATGCAAATTTTGGAAGTCTTCCTAAAAGAGTTGAGTGGGGGTCAGGTTAAATTGGGTTATCCCTTCATGGGTTGGATTTTATTGTGGATGTCCTGTTTCCTTTCCAGTGGACTCTGAGCACACACAGATGAAGAGTGCTCGGTACTTGATTGTAATTTGCTCGCTCGTCTCGGTGAGTTCGACGTTTTGTTAGTCAAGAGTTCAGTGTTCACGCGTGGTCAACTGTGTGTCACTGTCAGACTTTGACTTTGTTAAACTGCTGGGAAGTAGAAATGAACATTTCCAGTGTTATATTGGATATGCTGGTACATAATCGTAAGGTTAGGAAGAAATATTATGGAAACACCATTATGTCACCAGCATTACGATGAATCAACGATACTTACACTACACGCACATATGGAGAGATCGGATAGAGTAGGATGCTGCGAGACCCAATGCAAAGAACAAAACAAGAAGAACTTCGTAAAGGAATTATGGATTTATGGAGAGCCTGACAACGTTTATATGCACTTAGTTCAAGTGAAGTTAGTTGTTGACATTTCAGATGATATCTTGCCATTCCTCCTTATTTATTCTTATGCGGGCGTAAGTTAATTAGTTAAGTCAGTGGTCATAATTATTTATGAAAGGTCAAGCAACGTCAGAATGATATCGAAATAGTTTTACAAAATCAACACTTCATCTTGCAAGAAACATATTGATAATAGCCTCTTTGAGATCTGCCAATACAAATCACACCATAATCCTACTCGGCTTCTAACTTGTAAGACGATCCTATTCATTCTGAGGTTATCTTGAACATCATTGTCATTTCGTACTTAAAAACTGCTGTCCGTCATATAATATACCTAGCATTTCCAGCAAATTTAAACCTTGACCCCTTCTCCTGCTTTCGATTCTCCTCTCTTTTCTATGGGATCCTATACATAAATGTACGAAAGTGTATATGTGTACGAGTACCCCTGAACTAAAAATCTCAAATCTTCCCAAAAGGTTTCAACACAACACCACACTTTTTCAACGGTAGGTCAAGAAATTTAGAAACACCGAACTCACAAAAAGGGACCCACGTCGTCATGATGTAATTACGCACGGGATCAATCAAAGCCACTCTCTCCCACAAGCATTAAACATCGAATACATCAAGGGCTTTCAAGCATTTCTTGATTACTACACTCAATTAAGCACTCAAATCAAGAAGATCAACTACCATTTTTACCCCTTATAGTAGTAGCGAGTAATAGAGGAGGTAGACAAATAAGGTAGACATGACCGCTAATCTCTTGAAGCGCCGGGATTTTGATTTGGTACGGGTCCAACGACATGACTGGCACTGCCGTACGTACCGATATAAGAATCCCTACGTATCCTATCCTACGAAGGACTACTTGCGAGTCACAAGTATCGTGAGATTTTCCCCGCTCATCATCATTTCCATTTACAGCGGCATAATAAGACGTTGGAAGATCAGATCAACAAACTAAGGATACAAATCATGAAACTGTTTCCGATGCCGAGCGTTTACGAGTCCTCGGAAGTAGGAAGAGGCGCTCCAATCCTTCTGTTCAAGTTTCATGTCAAATTCTAATCGATCGACTCTTCAAAACGTCAAGAGTTTAACACTCAATGAAGCCATACAGATTCCAAGTTCTAACAATATGACAAGTTGACTCGGGTTCGCTGTCAGTTGTTAACCCCTCCTCCAACATTATTTCCAAACCTCGGAACATACATTATCCAAGCTCAATGCTCATCAAACAAATTCTGTGTCCCCATGATGTTCCGCCTTTCTCACGTTGCCGATCCCATGGAAATACTTCCCTGCAAAATCTTCTCGACGATTTAAAACGAATTACTAAATACAGAGGACCCTGAAAGCAACCCCTGGCTCTACTATCCATTTAAGACAATATAAAGTAGTGATAAACCTTATACCACCCTATTAGAGGCTATCATCAGTATGATGACAGCAGTGGTGCAGCGATGATGATGTTGAACATGTTGATCCTTTTTCTCTGCCTTGGTGCCTTGGCCTACAGGATCAGGGTTACAAGCTAACAAGTTAAGATACCTCCAACCTCACTACAATAAGCTTTTACTTATTAACAAGATCACTTACGAGTATTGCCACAACATAGTCGTCGCGTTTCCTCGTGCTTTGGTCTAATTCTTCGTATCGCCAGCACAGCCTTGTGATTCATCATTCGAATCATCAAACCTGAAAAGATTCAGCCGCATCAGGGAGACCTGTCAGCGAAATCGCCTCTTGCACAAACCAGAATATCCCAGAATGTCCATTTATTATGGTTCACGAATGAGATTATGAGATTATGAGAAGCTTACCTAGGCGAACCACAAACATCGGCCATTTTTCGGAGTGGGTGGTCCGACAATTGTCGGTCATCTGTACTCCCAATATTATTGTCCCAAGATTTCGTGACTTTACTTCCACTAAAATACGGACTATGAACTGCGATTGATCCTTGAAGTAGCAAGAAAGCACAAACCACCAAACCGTCAAAGTGAGCACCACGGGATGGATCAACAAGAGAATAAACAATAATCAACATAGCGGTGAGGTGCGAGAATTTGGAAAATCATTTGCTGAAATCTTTGGAACTGTTGAACCATAAGAAAGATCAGCTTCTTATTACTATCATCTGTGCAGAGCGGCACTTTCTCTGGTTTATCTTCGTGAGTGGGAAATAAAATAAGCCGTACATCGGATTTGATGCACAGTATTCCCCGGATACACACTTCGTCGGAGGTCATGGGTCAATAGAGGGGACATTCAAGATTCAAGAATGTACAATCAGAGTGTCGTGAAAGTTCCCCACTGGTATCTATTTTTCTACTTTTTGTGGGTGAGATTCTTGATAACCATCTGACTGCATTATTCGTTTTTCTCCTAATCATCGCTTCCCTAGCACTCAAAATCGTAAGCGGATTAGCGAATGTGGATGAAGGGGCTGAGAGCTTGTTTTGTTCACACGACCTCTTCTTCTCGTCCAACTTTTGAGGCTGAAAATTGATTTGCCCAATCTCGGTATTTGCAGGCTATTATTACCTTTCACACAAAGAGGGCTTGATCAGATGGAATTATTACTTCATTCGTTTGTACGCACTTGAATAAGTTGAGGAACGGCAGTGCAATTACACAATTCTGTCTATATCTCACGCAGGTGCGCAAGGCAGCTATGTGGTACAGCATGAATATTTACAAGACTGAACAGGCATACCACGTGGAAATGACGATTTGGCTATATTGGTTATGTAACGTTCAGCGTAGGTGGCGGAAAGACCCTGAATTTTTTGTGTCGGATTGTCGAGGATGAGTAGGAGGTTTGAGATGATCAATTAGTTATTGCATTTTGATGATTTGATGAATGTTTCTATGTCAAACTTGAGGATTTAATGAGTAAAACTTGCCACACGATGGAATGTGCAAGAAAAAAAGCTTGACAAGCTGTTTGATTGGTCAACTTTAAACATGAAAATCAAGAAATATTGTGGTGTTCTAATGCCTGGAATCTGATATCAGGGCAAATGCAGTACATGTCGAATTCGGTATGCAATTCCTATTATACTGAACGTGCTTGCCTTCCAAACTTCCACGATCCTTCCTTTTGCATAACGCTATGTCTAGAAAATGAATATAGGGCTCTTTTCTTCAATGACTCTCATGATTAGTACGATATAGCACGATTCGTTCAGTAACATTAACCACAATTAGTTTGGACCGACTAGCGGAAAAAAGACGGAAGACGGAAACTAGTCCGTACCTTGAAAGTACTAAAACATACGTGCCATTAGTGAAGTGATTGAAGAAGGTTCCTCGGCAACATGGTTAGCGGGTGCAGTTTGGGGTAAGAGGACGGTGGAATTCGTAAGGGGGCGCTTTTTTTGGTGGAATTGATTCGGCGGTGTCGGGGTGTATTGCAACTTGGGAGTATGATGAGAGGGAACTTATACTCCTAATAAGTTGAGAACATCATGTAAAGAGAATGAGTGTTGCAGGATGGTAGATTCTGTGGACATAAAGATGGAGTGTAGATCCCTAGTGCTGGTGTTCCTCTATTGATACCCCATTACCTTCGTTTGCTTTGTTTAGTGCTCTCCTAGTCTCTTAACTCCCTCACACAAACCCCCGAACCGATGTCTACAGCCCAATCAGCACACTAAAGATACGATGTTCAGTATCGAAATCTCTTTCAACATGGGAAAGCACCTCGGAAAAACATATTCATACACTATTTCACATCTTTGTAGGGCAGATTCGGGTAATCTTACTTTACTCATAACTCACGAGCTCACGTCTCAAGATTTTTAATGGGGAAAGAAAGTCGGAGAACTTCGTTCTCCCCTTTGGGAGCGAGCTGTGGGTATTGGGGAGGATTATATTATTTAGACCAATCAGGCGTGTGTATGGATATTTGATATTACTTTACTAGGGCAACTAGGGGTAGAGACTAGAAATTAGCTTGCTGCCCAAATCTTACTCACCTGCGAATCTTTGATTTTTACAATGCCCAATGATTGGTGTTTGCTTGCATGGAGAGTAGTGCATATTGTTGAAATTAAAAGCTGAGTGGGAAGTCATCTGTCGAGTGTGTGTAGTGAGTGGGATGAAGTCTTAACAGAATCCGAGTTAGACTTTAGGTTACCAGACCACTAACGGATAGAAATTGGCAATAAAGATGCAGATTCAACATACATGTGCATAAACAAACTAATCACAGTAGCTGAATCATAGATTCATTAGCTACGGGGTAAGATACCAAGCTGCGCTTAGCAACACTACTATGTTTGGTAACCGATCCTAAAGCATGAACTAGTCTTTAGGAAGTCGATAAATTGCGCATGTGGCGTGTTGAAGGAGGCGGCTGATAAGGCGAGGTGTGGACTATCACGGCATCTTCATCCATGGATGCCATGGTGGAAAGTATGTGTGTGGTGTTGGTTAATTCAGTGAGAGTTGATTACTTGAATAGAGCAGAGTGGATGTTGCTAGGTTTAGCCCTGTGCTTTCTGACAAGTTGGAGAGACTAGTAAAGGTCGAAGATTGAGTTTGTGGGAGGATTGTTCGGATGTGAAGAGGTGATGGGGTGAAGGGGTGAAGGGGTGATGGGATGGTGGGATGGTGGGATGGCGAAATAAATTGAGATCAGGTGGGAGGTGGGTGGTGGGTGGGATTAGGGCAGGAGAAGAGGGGGTGGGGTCGAATGGAGAGGATAAATAGGATTTGGCGCGATTAATTGAATAAGTGCTTTTTCGAACCAACAATACAAAAATATAATAGCATAGGCATCTATCACATTGGATTTGCGTTTTTGTTGGATGATGACTTGTGCTTGCAAGTGAGAATCGGAGCAATCTGGTGGGTACTGTGCAGTAGGAACACTGCATAATACTTTAACCCGAATCAATATCATAGGATGCTATCTCGGAGAATAATCATCCATCCAAAGCTGAATCAGGTGCAGTGTAAATGTAACAGGCACTGATTGGCCAACAAAATGTTTAAATTGAACTGTAGGCATCATCACTCTCTTTACTGCGGAGAGTTTTCATTCTGCCAATTTGCTTGACGGTATTTCGTTAAGATTGGCTGATGTTCCGTAGACAACAAACGAATAACAAACACTTCTAAATATAGCTTCCTCCGCAAACCATCCTAACCTCTGGTCCTCTGCAATACGTTAACATAAAAACGCCCTTCTCGTTCCTGTGTACCGCAATTGTGCTCTAGATGCAATCAGTATCAACATATGATACCGTAGCCCCTGTAGTTATCGTGCCATTGATAGCCTGGGCTTGGGCTATGGATGTACGTGTATTAGCATTCATTAAGTTGCCCTCTTGCTCTCATAACCTCCAAAAGAGTAAAAAGAAAACTCACCGCCACTAGTTGTTAACCATAATCTCTTCCCTTCCTTTCCTCCAACTCTCTCAAATGCGCCCGCCGTAACACCAGCCAGTACTGTAGATGTGTTACTACCAGCTACAGCTACAACCTCAGTCATGCCCTGTTTCCACATGAATAGCGTATCTTGATCGTTGCCACACAAGAAGATTGTACCATCTTCACGAATAATGAAATCATCTGGACTCGTTACATTCACTAGTAATACACTATCACTCGTTGGTGCCGCAGTGATCGGAGCGATAGGTACGCGGTTGAAGGTGCTTGCGCCGAGATTGTCGAAATAGAGATATGGGGAGCGGTAATGAATACCGTTGATTCCGAGATGTGCTTCTGAACTTGGTGGGATGGCCATAGACGAGAGCCTAAGGGGAATGGTATAAGAGGATGTTGCGACATTGACGTTGTAGATTTGACCAAGAATTGAATCGCTTATAAGAATATGTTCCGGATCTAAAGTATCCATGCCGTTCAACAAAACAGATTCTGGAAGATCGACTATGTGGGATACTGTTGGAGGGGAGGTTAAGATACCAGCTTTGGAAGAGAAGGTGTTCAAGTCCACCTTGTAGATTGCATTAGAGTAATTCGTAGCCTTTGTGAAAACAGCTGTGTAGGGTGTTTGGACGGCGACGTAGAAGACATCCGAGAAGGGTGTGATTTCAGTGATACCTAGAACTGTATAGTTGTGAAGTCAATATTTGCTTTTGTAGGAAGGCTCTTGAGGACAAATGGGAATTTAGGTTCTCGTAGGGGAATTGAGAAGACACATAAAATATACGGTATAACATTGATATAGAAAGGGTAACTGAGGAGTACAATGTGAGACAATATGCATACGTCCGATGTAGGTAGTTGCATTGAAAGTATGAAGGGTTATAGGAGCGGTTTGGTTGGAAGGGTCAAGGAGTTGGAGGATCGGTGTATCGAGACGGGTAATGAGTAGTTGGCCATTAGAACGGACGGCAATGTTCTCGGCCCAGGTTTTGTCCCCGAGAAACTGGAGCTCGGTGACAGGAAGTTGAAGAGACGAGGCCGAAGATTTTGCTAGAGGTGTGGTGCTAGCGAGGGAGAACAAAGTTGTGGTCAAGAGACCTGTAATATGATAAACACAGCGCATCTTGTGAACGGGGAAGGAAAGCCAAGGTAATTGGAGTAACAGGAACACAATTGAACTGTTTCACTGGTAGGACACACCCAAATTTATATTTATGAATTTGTCAAACCGCATTTATAACTATTACTAGTGACTTGGAAAGTCCATGAGTCTAAGGCTAGGGTTGTACAATCAAAGTTCAGCTCAATCAATATTGATAGTTTCCTCTCTCGAATGAGTGGTACGGAAAGGCTCCGTATGCTCCGTAAACTGCATAGCAAAGGCTGAATAAGCATGTTAAAAGAAAAGTTTACAATTGTTATTAAGCAAGAGATGCATGAAAATTGAAGATGTCTCAGATTTCGAACTATTGGAACTAAGACGAGTGACCGGGAAAGTAAGAAAGCAACTACCAAGGATATCAGTGTGTGAAGGAACTCAAAGAGATTTGATAAATCGCGGATTTGCTAGTACTTTCAACATACACAATCCTCTGGTACGCTGAATTCATTCCGTGTAATCACAATATGAACGAACATGTCATTGCCGAC